CACAGGCACCCTGGACATGAATTCACGGGTGCTGGAAGCTGTGAATTCCACAGGACACACCAAATGACAGGCATTGCTGGCTGCCCACAGTGGTGGCATCCAGTGCCACCTGCCCCATGCTGCCCTGCACACCCTGAATGGCACCAAAACCCCGACCTGGGCAGTGGGGGCTGTGCTGGCCCCAGCCCACCATGGGCACAGGGTCAGGGTGGGTTATCCTGCAGTGCCCTCCCCCTCTCCAGCCCCACAGGACCCAATTCCCCATCCTGCAGCAGGAATGGGGCTGATGGGCTCCCCAAGGAGACAGGCAGGAGAGGCAGAGCAGCCCACCCACCCAGGATGGGCCTGAGCAGGAAACAATTCCTCAACACCTCCCTGCTTGAGCAGAAAGGGGGGGCTGGATCACAGAATCACAGAATTGTGGAATGTCCTGAGCTGGGAGGACCCACAAGGACCATCCAGTCCAATCCCTGTCCTGCACAGACCCCCCAACAATCCCACCCTGGGCATCCCTGGCAGCGCTGCCCAAACACTCCTGGAGCTCTGGCAGCCTCGGGGCCGTGCCCATTCCCTGGGCAGCCTGGGCAGTGCCAGCACCCTCTGGGGGAAGAACCTTTCCTGATACCCAGCCTGACCCTGCCCTGGCACAGCTGCATCCTAGCAAACCTCCCCTGGCGCCTCCCAGCATCCCCATTCCACCATCTGCCATCTCTGAGCTGGGGTGAGGGGATCCCTCACTCTGTGCCCCAGCTGATGGCCCCAATGAGAGGCTCCACATCCCCTCTGCTGAAACCCTGGGGCCCTGGCTGGATTCCAGCCCCAAGAGCTTCCGCTCCATTGTCCCAGGGGGTGTGTGAGCCCCTGCAGCCCCATCCTGGCCCGTAATGCTGTGGGCACTGGCCTGAGCCTGGTTCCCTGGGACATGCATTGGCCAGATGGCCCCAGGACATCAATCCCAATATGTCCCAGAGATCTAAACACATCTCCAGAACAGCCCTGGATAAGGGGAGCTGGCCAAAGCCATGAGCAGGCAGTTCCTGCATGGATGCAGGGGCAGCACCAAGCTCTTCAATATTTCACCATGTCTTTGCTTCTGGGTCTCGAGCAGGCAGAGAAGAGCACGAGGCTGCCTCACTCCCAGCACTGCTTTAGCACCAGGACAGCCCCAAACACTGCCCCAGCATTTATCAGCACCTTCTCAGTACCACATGCATCCTCCCTCACATCCATCTCACCCCATGGGGACAGTGGCACCTCAGGGATTGCCCTGGCATGGGAATGCATGGACAGACCACGAGCTGCTGTGAGCCCTGGCACGAGTCTGCTGCAGGCTGGGCTCCTCAGCAGGGCTGGGACACCTGTGCTGGACACTGTGGAGAAGGATTTGGACCCTGGGCTGGCAGCAGCCTCTGGAGCTTTGAGCTCCTGCCAGGACACTGGCACCACCCCGGGAGGGCAGAGCCACAGGAGCCCTGCAGTGCACAGAGCACACACACTCTGCCCTCTGCAGTGTCACTGAGCAGCTCCTGGCTGCCTGCTCTGCTCAGGCTCCCTGGGACACAGCCTGACTGCCGTGCCCAGGCTGACATGGTTCCCATGAGCTCCAGAGAGGTGCTGCACAAGGGGCTCCTCAAAGGGCCACAGCATGGAGCTGGAACTGGAGCTGGACTGGGTGATCCTTGGGTCCCTTCCAAGGCAGGGAATTCCACGACCCCAGCTCCATGTCCTGTGGCAGATGCTGCTCCTCTGCAGCCTGTCAGGGAAGGTTTCACCTCACAGCTCCCGGGAGGGTGCCCTGCTAGGGAAGGGCAGAGCTCCCTACTCCTGGCACCAGGCAGTGCCTGAATCTGGCAGCCAGAGGTGCTGCTGCCCACGGGGACAGTGAGAGCACACAGCAGAGCTGGAGGACAGCAGAGCCCTGCAAACACAGAATCCCTGAATGCTTTGGGCTGGAAGGGGTCTCAGAACTCATCCTGTTCTACCCCCTGTCATGGGCAGGGACACCTTCACAGGCCAGGCTGCTCAGATCTCCACAATGAAGCACTTTGAGGCTGTGAATGCTCTGCACGACCCTCCCCAGGCTGCTCCTGGGATCACTCTGAGCTCAGCCCTGCTCTGCTACCCCAGACTCACCATGTGCTCCACTGGCACGTGGGGACAGCAGCACAGCACAGAGTCCTGGCACGTCCTGAGCTGGAAGGACCCACAAGAACCATCCAGTCCAGCCCCTGCCCTGCACAGACACCCCAACAATCCCACCCTGGGCATCCCTGGCAGCGCTGCCCAAACACTCCTGGAGCTCTGGCAGCCTCGGGGCCGTGCCCATTCCCTGGGGAGCCTGGGCAGTGCCAGCACCCTCTGGGGAAGAGCCTTTCCTGAAATCCAGCCTGACCCTGCCCTCGGCTCTGGTGGCTGCCCACAGAGAGCAGAGATTGGAGTTGCCTTCGGGAGGAGCTGCAGCCCCTGGAGAGGGGTCGGGGGCAGAGCTGCTCCCCAGCACCAGCACAAGCCCCGAGCCAGCTCCAGCCAGCCCCGGCACAACCTCCGAGACACAGCAGCCACCCCTGCCAGTGCAGCACCTGGGGCATTTCCAGCACCCTGGGAGCCCCCAGTGAGCACCACAGGCTGCTCTGCCATGTCCTGGGTACTGCAGCACCCTGCTCCTACTCTGCCATGTCCTGGGTACTGCAGCACCCTGCTCTGCCCTGCCTGGTGTCCTAGGGATTCCAGCACCGTGCTCCTGCTCTGGGACTGCAGCACCCTGCTCCTGCTCCTGCTCTGCCTCTCCCGAGCCCGGCAGCAGCAGCGCGCTCAGAGTGGGATGCCCGGGCCGAGTTGAACCAGGCTGGGCCGGGCCGGGCGCTGACTCAGGCCGGTCCCCAGCGCTGCTGCACCGGGAGGTGCCGGGATCGCGCTGGAGCAGGGCCGGGAGCTGCCGGGACAGGCAGCGCTGTGGGAAGCAGGGAGTGCCCGGGCACCGCCGCCTTGGGCGCTGCCAGCCGCAGGGACGGGCAAAGCAGGGCCGGGGCTGGGCTGAGCTACGGCCCTGCCTCCGCCTGCCGCAAAACTGCGAGCATGGGTCTGCAGGGCCCGGGAGAATGGATCTGCAGGGCTGGGAGAATGGATCTGCAGGGCCTGGGAGAATGGATCTGCAGGGTCTGGAGAATGGGTCTGCAGGGCTGGGAGAATGGAGCTGCAGGGTCTGGGAGAATGGAGCTGCAGGGCTGGGAAAATGGATCTGCAGGGCCTGGGAGAATGGGTCTGCAGGGTCTGGAGAATGGGTCTGCAGGGCTGGGAGAATGGAGCTGCAGGGTCTGGGAGAATGGAGCTGCAGGGTCTGGGAGAATGGAGCTGTGGGGCCTGGATGGATCTGCAGAGCCTGGGAGAAAGAATGGATCTGCAGGGAGGGCCCAGGAGAATGGATCTGCAGGGAGAATTGATCTGCAGGGCCCAGGAGAACGGATCTGCAGAGCCTGGGAGAAAGAATGAATCTGCAGGGCTTTGGGAGAATGGATCTGCAGGGCCTGGATGGATCCGCAGAACCTGGGAGAATGGATCTGCAGGGCCTGGATGGATCTCCAGGGCTGGGAGAATGGATCTGCAGGGCTGGGAGAATGGATTTTAGGGCCTGGGAGAATGGAGAATGGATCTCAGGGCCTGCACAAGGGAGGTGTTTCCAAGGCACACACAGCTGATTTCCCCTCAGTGCTCCTGTCTCTTGTTGCCATGCACCAGGCAGGCTGGAAATGTCCCTTGCTGGACCATCACCCAGCCACCCTCTGGATGTTTCCCAGTGTCCCAGCAGTGGCACCCCACCCAGCTCTCCCCTTTGCCCTCCACACCTCGGTTCTGAGGAGGGAGGTGGTGGGGAGCTGGTTGTCCTCCACTTGTGCCTCACTGATTCTGAGCCTCCCAGAGCCTTATTCCCCAAAACCTGGTGGTGTGTGTTGAAGGAGGGAAAATAAATCCTCATCCAACAGGAACACACGGGAGAAACCTGCAGGGCACCCCCACATCACCAGGCAAGGGATGGGGAGGACAGGCAGCTCCAGCAAGGGGGACATAAAACATCTCACCAAGGGACAAGATTCACCACCCTGTGCATCCTCCCATCCCCACTGCTCTAGGAAAGCCTCCTTGGATGCTGGATTTTGCTTTATCAACAGCATGGGACAGGCTGTCATAACATAACAGGGCAGCAAACAGCCCTCCAGGCCTCTGGCGCCTTGGGCTGGCTGCCAGCCCAGGTTCAGGTCCAGATCCAGATCCAAAACCAGATCCAGATCCACCAGGAACACTGGGGGGTCTGCAGATGATGTGTCCCCAGGGACAGCACACGTGTGACATGCTATGGATTCCCAGCCAAATGGAAGAGATCTGCCCCTGAAGCACAGAGCAGTGGCCTCCCCACACAGCTTTATCTCAAGGCTTCCTTGCATGCTGTCAGGAACATGCAGAGGAGGCAAACACAGCTGGTCAGAGCCTTTAGCAAGAGCTGGAAATAGCCTGGAAGGTGAGTTAGTGACTGTTCCATGGGCCAAGAGGCTTGGAAGCAGTGCCCTGTCCATGATGTCCCACAGGGGACCAGAGAGGAGCCAGTGGGGCTCTGGTACAGAAGTGGCCATGTCGAGGATTGCCCCAAGGTGCAGCAGGAAAAGCAGCTCAGAGCACTGAGGTGTGCCACCAAACTGCCAAGGCCTGTAGCTGAGCTGATGCTGGGAGGCACAGGGACAGGGCTTAGGGGGTCTTGGGTGGTTGCTGTGACCTCTCACAGCCTGGGCAGCAGGTGGGCAACTCCTGGAGCTGTGCTGAGCCTGGATCAGAGCCTCAGGATGGAGAGCACACCTGCACCCCTCAGCACCTCTTTATTTACAGACACAACAACACTGGGGGGTGGCAATGGGACACTCCTGAGGCCTCTGCCCCCTGGAACCCCCACTCCTGCAGCCAGGGCTCTGTGCAGCCCCTGCAGCTCCTGAGGCTCCTCTCTCCCTGAGCTTCTACTTCCTTCGGCTGCCCACCATGGTCTTCCCACGGGCACCCTTGGATCTGCAAGGGAAGAGGAACAGCACGTGCAAAAAGGCATCAGTGACCACACAGAGAGGAGGAGGTGCTGTCAGGGGTCCTGCAGCCTTTTCCCGTTGGAAACTGCCCTGGGGTCTCCACTGGCCCCAGCTAAACCTTGGGACCTGAGCCAAAGAGCCTTGGGACCCCCTGGGAACAAGCTCATGCAGTGGCCAGGTGATTCTAAGGACCCACCATTTCCCTCCCTTGTTTCTACCCCCCAGGAATCGTTCCAAGAAGAACTGACAAGCTGCATCTGTGGCTGCAGAGGGATAAAAGCAGCTGCAGGATCCTTCAGGACCCAGCCCATGGCTCACCTTAACCAGCACAGGGGAGCACAGAGGAGGAGTTTGGGTGGGCAGTGAAGGGCACTGAAGGGCAGTGAAGGGCAGTGAAGGGCATACCAATCCTTGGGATTGCCTCATCCCTGAGCCCTGCTTCTGCCCTGGGGTCCTGGTGTGCCTGCCACACACATGGAGTGGGACACACAGAGCTCCTGTGCAGGGACACACACAGCCCTCAGAAATGTCTGTACTCACCCTTTGCTGCAGGATCACACCGTGGTGGGGCAGGAGAGAAGAGAGATCTGGTGTAAGTGGTTGGGAGCTGCTGCCCCTGACACATGGGTGGGCTGAGCACCTCCCACATGAGGGGGAAGTGGGATGGGGATGTGAGAGCACCAGGGTGCTCCTGGGAGTAGGGGTCAAACAGCCCCTCCCATCCTCCTATGAAGGGCTCCCCAGCCACCTGCAGGGGCCATGGGCATGGGCAAGGTTCCCCTGGCCTTGTGGGCCTGCACAAATCCCACAGCCCGTGGGACTTCCCCTGCTGGACAAGCTGGGATCTCCAGCAGCTTCCTGAGGTGCTGGGCAGAGCCCCTGCAGGGAGGGGGTGGCTGGAGACTGGAAGGACCCCAGAGGACACAAAGCTTCCCCTGCAGAGGTGGGTTCTCCCTGGGGTCCATCCCCTGCCAAGGTCTCTGGGGAGGGGGGAGCTGGTGACAGTGGGACCATGGAGGTCCATCAGGAGCAGAGGGGCAGGGACTGAGATCCTGGGACAGACCTGCAGGTCCAGGAATGCCGGGCACCAGCAAGAGCAGAGGCAGGAGGGGGAAGGGGAGGAGGTGGTTTAGCAAGGGAGATCCACAGGGAGGGAACTGGGGAGCTGGAAGGGCAGGAGATTGAGGAGGGGTGGGCAGCCACTTACACTTTCTGGTGGTCACTGATGCGGTTTCGAAGAACATTGATCTGCAAGAAAAATGGTGGGTGGTGAGGTCTGGCAAGAAAAAGCTGCAGGTGGACAGTGAGGTCTGACAAGAAGCCCCAGGTGGGGGCAAGGCTGGCTGAAGATGCATCACTGCTCTCTTTTCCCCAGCAGTTTTTCTGTGGGGTTTAGAATCCCAGAATACCAAGATGGCTGGGGTTGGAAGGGACCTCCAAGCCCATCTCATTCCACCTCCTGCAATGAGCAGGGACACCTTCCACTGTCCCAGGTTGCTCAGGGCTCCATCCTGCCTGGCCTATGATGTATTTGCCCTGTGGTGGTGCCAGGTACACGTCCCCAGGAGCTGGGAGATCACTTGCACAGCCCAGCTCATCCCCTTGCTGGGGAGCAGTCAGGAACACAGAGGGTGGACAAATCACAGAGGCCCTGGGGCTCACCTCGTATTTCTGCCGCTTGAACTTCTCCTGCAGGTCAAATTTCTCAGCCTCCAGGTCATGGATGTTCTGCCACAGCTCCTTGGCCTTGTCCCTGTAGGAAGAGCCAGCTGGGGACAGTGCAGGGAAGGGCTGTGGCTCCCAAGGAGCTCAGCAGGGATGGGGCACTGGTGCCAACCCCTCATCTGCTCCAGGGGATGGGGCTCAGGAGGCTCCGAGACAGGGATGTGTTATCCAGGCAGTGAGTTCAGGACAAGAGCCACGGGGGAGGTCAGTACATATGGGGACACACATCCCACCCATGTGACCCTGGCTCCCCAGGACACCCCTGTCCCATTTGTGTGACCCTGGCTCCCCAGGACACCCCTGTGCCACCCGTGTGACCCTGGCTCCCTCTCATGGCTGGTGCCATCAGTTGCAGCCTGGCCATGGTAGCCCTGCACAGCCTTGGCACCCGTGCCCCCACGGGATGTCACAGCCCATCCCCAGCTGTACCATCTCCTCAGCTGGAAGCCCCAGAAGCTGTCCCCAGCCCAGGAGCTGTCCCCAGCCCGGGTTCCTGCCCAGGAGCTGTCCCCAGCCCGGGATCCTCCCCTGGCCGTCCCTCCTGCAGCCTGTGCTCACCTCAGCTTGTCCTCACTGAGGTGGTCGATGTTCAGGGGCTTCCGTCGCTCACTGAGGATCTTCTTCTTCTTTTCCCGCTCTGTTTGCTTCTTGCCACCCTTTTTCTCTGACTGAGGAAACCATCAATCCACTGGAGAGAAGGAAGTCTGCCCAGCCTTTGCTCTTGCCCATCCCCAGTTCTGCACCCGACACCCTCAGCTTTTGGGACTCCCGAAGCTCATGAAGTCCTTGAGGACATTTTGGCAACAGTGGACAAGCCACCTTGTCCTTGTCCCCATCCCTGTCCCTGAGGCGAGGCTGGAGCTGCACATCTGCAGAGCAGGGCTGAGCTCGGGGCCGCTCTGAGCTCACTTTGGCCTGGTTACTCCTGACCCAAGCACAGTTCCCTGTCCCACCTGCCTCTAAACCCCCAGTGTCACATGGATGAGGCCAGCCCATGGCCAAGCCCTCCCCAGGGGCAGCAGTGGCTCCATCCCAGCCCCTTGGGGAGGGTCCCACCTTCTGCATGTATCCCCCAAAGTGCAGCATGTTGGAGAACGCCTTCTTCTTCCGCGCTTCCTCCTCCGCCCTCTTCCGTGCCTCCTCCTCCTCCTTGCGGGCTCTTTCCTCCTGCCAGGGTCAGAGGGCGGTCAGCAGTGGATGGATGGACACACAGCTCGTGTCCCAGGCCCCATTTCCAGAGGGCACTCACGGCCATGCGGGCCTGGCGCTCCTTCTCCCGCTCGCTGCGGATCCGCTGCTGCTCCGCCCGCTCCGCTCGCCGCTGCTCCTGCACGGAGAGGGGACCTGGGCTTGGACACCGCTGGGAATCGGCACCCTCTCTGCTCCCAGGGACCTGACCCCGAGAGCCCCGAGAGCCCCAGGGGAGCCTGGGCACAGTGACCCGGGGAGAGGTGCATCAGCCCCAGGCACCGCAGCACCACCGGGGGCATCCCAGCAAGCAGGGACAGGATCCAAGGAATGGCTGGAGCTGGGCCAGGGCAGGGTCAGGCTGGAGAGCAGGAAAGGCTCTTCCCCAGAGGGTGCTGGCACTGCCCAGGCTGCCCAGGGAATGGGCACAGCCCCGAGGCTGCCAGAGCTCCAGGAGTGTTTGGGCAGCATTGCCAGGGATGGGGTGGGATGGTTAGGAGGTCTGTGCAGGGCTAGGGGTTGGACTGGATGGTCCCTGTGGGTCCCTTCCAGCTCAGGGAATTTTATGGTGTGCAGGCACTGGGGTTAATAAAAATCTGGTTCAACCCTCAGGCGCTGTCCTGCAGGGTCAGGGGTGTCCCAGGTGTGCCAGCACTGTGGGGAGGGGACAGTGGCTGAGTGCCCACAGGACCGGGTGGCAATAGCCAGAAAGGGGAAGGCTGAACACGTACAATCCTGTCCTTGAGGGACAGCAGCTCCTCTTCCTCCTTCTTCCTGCTCTCAAAGTGGGCTTCAATGAGGGCCTGCAGCTCATTCAGGTCCTTCTCCATGCGCTTGCGGTGAATGTCCTGCAGCAGGCACAGACAGCCAGGGCTCCAGCAGCTGCTGGGCACTGAGGGGGAGCAGAGGGAGGGCAGCACCCCCAGGGGTGGGAACTGGGCCATAACTTACATCAAAATCCAGTCTCTCGCCATCTGGGATCTTGGGGGGCACCAGGTTGGGCATGAAGACTCTGCAGAGGAGGGGGAGCCAGAGCACGAGGGGGCTGCAGCAGGTCTGGGACAGCCCGTGCCCCTCACCCATCCCACCCCCTGAGCCCCCGGGGTGCAGAGTGGGCACAGCTGGAGGTGAGGGAGTGCAGTGCATCCTGCTGGAGGTGCCAGCTGGGCAGCCACAGAGGAAGAGCTGTGGCATTCCCTGGAAATGCTCCCAGGTGCCTGCATGGCTGGAATAACCCTGCAAGCTGCAGTCCCCTGAGCTGGCAGCCACCCCCTGTCCCCTCAAAGGGCACTGTGGGCTCTGTGTGACCTGGCACAGCTGGATCCTTCCTCCTGTGGGGCATGAGGGAGGGCAGGAGATGCCCAGCAGGGGCACAAAGGGATGAAGGGATGATGGTGGCTGAAGGCAGATCTGCCTCTCACACTGCAGAGTCCCAGGGGCCCAGGAGGACCCCCCAGGCTTCCTGCAATGGTTCACAGTCCTGCTCCCTTGGGGTCAGTCCCTGGCACTCCTGGACACATGTGCCTCATGCCAGCCATATCCTGGGCTCTGTGTCCCACGCTGGGGTGCTCTCACACACACACACACCCACACCCACACCCATACTTCTGCCACCTGCAGGGTCACAGGGCAGCTGAGCTTCTCCAACGAACACACAAAATGCTTCAGAACTGCCTAAAGACCTCGTTCTCAGGGTGTCCTTCACGGGCTGTGTTTTGCTGTCGTTTCTCTCCCTTTTCTCTTCATGCCCCAGTCCCACCCTGCCCTGGAGGCTCCCTGTGCCCTGTCCCTTATGGACCAGGCTCTGTCACACACAGCCTCTGCCCTGGCACAGCTCAGACCTTGCCACGGGGAAACCCTGCCACACTTACTTGGGTTTTGGCTTCGATTCCCCTGCAGGTCCCGGGAGCAGCACAGAAAGACAAGGTCAGTGTCACCGAGGGTTCCTGTCACACCCTGAGCCCAGCCCTCCCTCTGCCCAGGGAACCCCCCCAGCGAGGGGCCAGCCCTGTGCCCCCAGTGTGCCCCAGGTGTGCCCCAGGTGCTGCTGGCTGAGCAGGGCACAGCTGGAACCCCATGCAGAGGAACAAGGGTGATACTTCACCTTCCCCGGGCTCCTGCTCCCGCTCTCCCTCTCCACCTGTGGAGATACATGATGCTTTGTGTCCCCGTGGCCAGTCCTGCCCAGGGACACTGTGGGGGGCTGTCCCCTTCTTTCCTGTGCTTGTCCCCACTGCAAACCCCAGCTCCATCCCTGCAGGATGAAGGGAGGGACAGCAGCCCCTGAGGGACACCCCTCACTCACACCCCTCACTCACAGGGGAACCAGGAGAGCCCCAGGTGCTCTCAGGAGGAATCCAGACAAGTTTTGCAGAAGCTCAGGCTGGAAAAGCAGCAGTGCCTCCCTCTCCTGCTGTATTTTGGGTGAATTTCTGCAGAGGCAGCACAAATCCATCCCTCCTGCTGCCCCTGTCCTGCTGGGGGATGTGGCCATGGCAGCTCTGCCCCTTTTACCACAGATTGTCCCTTTGGTAGCAAATAAATTCAGCACCAAAACCTCATTACAAGGGCCCAGTGTCTGAGGGGAATGGGATCAGGACTGGAATGGCCAAACCCATCTCTCCTCTGCTCCTGCTTTACCTTCTCCTGCTGCTTTCGTTTCATCTTCTTGCTCTGTTTAAAAGCAATGGGAGAAGATGAGCACCCCTGGGTGAGGGCAGCCACACCCCAGCACAGAGGGGCCCCAGCACCCTGACTTGGGGCCACAGCCAGGGTCTGAGCCTGCCCCAGCAGAGGGGACAGCACAGGGTCACACACCATGCCCCAAAGCCACCTCATGAAACCCAGAGCTCTTTTGGTGATCAGACACATCAGAGCTCAATCCCAGCTCGGGATACCCCCTCTAAGGCAATGGACCCCTAGGTGACCCAGGCTTGGCCCATTTTAGGCATTATTTCAGAGGGCTGGACACAGCCACCAGCAGCAAACACCATTTGTATTTCATGGATTTCATTACAATTTCATGTTTGTAGGGCCCAGACAGAGCAGGGAAGGGCATCTCAGTTTGACACCCCCTTACTGCACAGCCCATCTGGGTGATGTGCCCCTGTCACAGCCCTGCTGGGACATCCCAGCCCCCAGTTGGCAGCCTTGGAGCTGAGCATGGCCCAGCCAAGCCACCATGGTCCAGCCTGGCATGGTCCCCACTCACCTTCTGCCTTGGCTTCTGTGGTCTCCTCCTCCACCTCCTCTACCTGCTCCTCCTGACCTGTGCAGGGAGGGCAGAGTGAGCACAGCAGTGTTCCCTGGCTCCTGCAGCTCCTCACATTCATCCTCCTCACGTTTATCCCTGCAGCTCCTCACACTCATCCCTGCAGCTCCTCATGTTTATCCCTGCAGCTCCTGCAGCTCCTCACACTCATCCCTGCAGCTCCTCATGTCTATCCCTGCAGCTCCTCGTGTTTATCCCTGCAGCTTCTCACCCTTATCCCTGCAGCTCCTCCTCTCATTTATCCCTGCAGCTCCTCACCCTTATCCCTGCTGCTCCTCACACTTTTCCCTGTAGCCCCTCACACTTATCCCTTCAGCCCCTTACATTTATCCCTGCAGCTCCTCACATCTATCCCTGCAGCTCCTCACATTTATCCCTGCAGCTCCTCACGTTCATCCCTGCATCTCGTCACATCTATCCCTGCAGTTCCTCACATCCATCCCTGCAGCTCCTCACGTTCATCCCTGCATCTCCTCACATTTATCCCTGCAGCTCCTCATGTTTATCCCTGCAGCTCCTCACACTCATCCCTGCAGCCCCTCACATTCATCCCTGTTGCTCCTCACATCTCTCCTGCTTTGGGACAGAGCCCAGAGGGACCTGGGCAGCCTCAGTGGCTGGGGAGCAAAGGGCTCCTCTCTAACCCTACCCAGGGCTGCCTGTGCTCCTCAGGGCAAATCCCCCTAAATTAATGAAATGCAAGGATTTGTCGCGACCTCCTGCCTTGTCCCTCATCCCCTCTCGCTCTGCCGATCCCTCCCAGCCCAGGAAGGAAGGAGGGATCCCCAAGGCTCTGCTCTGGCAGGGAGCCCCAGGGCTGGCTGAGGATGCTCTGTGACGCTGCTGGAGCCTTTTTCCACTGGAGGGAGCAGCGTCCCCGCGGGATTCCCCGGCGGAGCCTGAGCGATGCCGTGCCCTGGGAACACCCGCGGGGCCACGGCCACGCAGAGGGGAAGGAAAAGGAGACAGCAAAGACAGCAAACCACGGCTGGCAGATATAGAGACAAGGCACAGACAGAGGATGGACACACAGCACAGCAGGGTATGGCAGGAGTGCAGGAAGAAGAGAGAGAAGTGGAAGAATGAAAGAAAACCATTCCCCAGCCAGGGAGAGGCAGAACGCATGGAGCCAGGAGTTCTCCCGAGAGCAGAGAGAGAAAATAATGAAAGGTGCAATAACTACCGTCATCTTCCTCTATCCATTCTTCCTCTTCTGAGCCAGGGAGGAGGGAAGGAATAAGCACAGGGATTAGTTGGGTGCCACAGAGGTTGGGTGTGCGTGAGGTGAGGACTGGAGCACAGCAGGGGCTTCCCCTGCACCTTTCTTTGCTTTTACACTTAGGGTGCTTTGCCTGGCAGTGCCCTAGAGCAGCCATAGGCTCGGCTCAGCCCAGTTCAGCCCAGCCCAGCCCAGCCCGGCCCGGCCCAGCCCAGCTCGGCCCGGCCCAGCCCAGCCCAGCCCAGCCCAGCCCGGCTCCCATGCTGGGTTATGTCCCCATCAGGCCGAGGCAGTGGCAGTTTGAGCTTGGCAAGGCTGGCACACGTTCAGAAGAGGCTCCAGCTCCTGTTAGGATGTTGGGATCACCCCTCAGCCCACACCCCTGCCCAGCATTGCCAGCCCTGCTTTGAGTCTCACTGACAAAAGAGATCCTGAGAAAATTCGGACTGGTTTGACCCTACTGATGTTTCAGGTGCAGGCATCTCAAACATGGTCACATCAGCCTTTCCTGGACATGGTTTGCCCATTGCAGCCCAGGAGCTGACCCCCAACCCCCAGCAAAACACTGAAGCCCTCTCCTTTGGCTCTTGGTCCTTGCAGGTGCAGCTCCTACCTTCCTCCACGCACTCCTCTTCAGAGAGCACACAGGGCACAGACAGAGAGAAGGGAAAGAAGCCTCGGGTTATTGGAGTTGCTCTGATCAGTTTTTGGCCTCAGGGCAGCTGCAGGTGCTCCATGTCCTCTTACCTTCCTGCTCCCTGCAAAGCACAACAGGAATTTAGAGTCAGGTTGAGCTGCTGGAACAGGGCCATCAGTGAGGCTGAGGTGAGTCTGGGGCTCCTCAGGGCTCCCCTGTCCCACAGCACAGGCCATGGCTGCTGGGGGGCTGGAAGGTGGCACTGGGGACAGGGACAAAAGCCCAGGTCACCTCAGTGAGGCTGAGGTGAGTCTGGAGCTCCTCAAGGCTCCCCCATTCCACAGCACAGGCCATGGCTGCTGGGGGGCTGGCAGGTGGCGTGGGGACAGGGACAAGGCCCAGGTCACCCTGCAGGCTGTGGAGAGCAGGGCCTGAAGGTCTGGACTGGCACTTTTTTGACAGTGGTGAGGGCACTCCTCCATTTTGCAGCATGAAAGATGAATGACCTTGGCTTGTAATCCCAGAAATGGGAATCTCACATCCCACCTTTGCCCCCAAGTCCTTCCCTGGCCGTGGGGGAGATGCACAGCCCATCCCAGGGTTAGGTTAGGACTGAGTCTTTTGTCCTTGGGTGTGTGACAGCCATCTTAACATCTTCAGTGTCATGCTTTTTATAAGCTACAAGAACGTGAAATTTGGTGGGTGATTGCTTGATGATTTATCATCATGGTTTGTATTTTTGTTTGGTTTTTTTGGGGGGGGTTAGTTCTGGGGTTAATTCTGTGTTTGTTTGGGCGTGGTTGTGGAGTGATGATGACAGTTGGTTATTGATTTTGACACCAGGAAATATAGAGGAAGGTTAATTGAAAGTGTATTGATGACAAATGATTTGGATAATGTAGGGATATATGGTTTAATTATTTGACCAAAAAAAAGTCAAGATAAAAAAATGGATGCATAAAATTGAATTTAAATACTAGTTCCTGGTAAATTATAAAATAATTAATATGTCTGGCAGCCATTACACTATCTGTAATAGTTGCTAGAAACACATGAGTCTGGTGTGGCACTGAAACCCCAGAGGGCTCAGGTCCTTTCCCTGCAGGTGGATGAGCAGTGGGAGCTGTGTTGGAGCTCACCCCTATAACCCAGCCCCATCTCTCCAGGATGTGCCTCCATCAGCAGAAGCTGCTCTCAAATCTTGGAGAGTGATGCTCTGCAAGTGGCAGCAGGACCCAGCAGCAGCAGATTGAGTTTCCCATTTCCCCACTGACTCTTGGGTTTTCCCATCTCTATCCCACACATTGAGACTGCAGCATTTTTAATACAGCAATCATCCTTGTCCTGCTCGTGGCTGTGGGTACAGCTCCCCACACAAACTGTGTGTGTTAATTCAGCAATCAAACCTTGTCCTGTCAGTGGGGAGGATCCAGCTCCCCACACAAACTGCCCCTGCTGGGGTCAGGCACACAAACTGTGTGTGTTAATTCAGCAATCAAACCTTGTCCTGCCCGTGGGGAGCATCCAGCTCCCCACACAAACTGCCCCTGCTGGGGTCAGGCACTGCCAGGGCAGGGGGGCTCAGGCTGGGGGTCCATGGTGGGTGCTGGGTAACAATGAGAGCACCCCCAAGCAGTGCTGCAGTGGGAAATGGGAACAGGGAGAAAGAAAGGGGTTAAAACCACCCCACTTACTGCTCATACTCCTCGGTGACCTCCTCCGTGTCTGACATCCCTGGTTCTCTGGCAGAGGTGGAGGCAGATTGGAAAAAGTGAGGGTTAGAAGTGAGATAAGGGCTGGCACAGCCTGTCCCTCAGCACCAGGACAGGGCCACAGAGATGCTGCCTCTCTCCAAAGCCCTTGGAGCTGCCAGCTGTCCCCAGCCAGGCTGTGACAGCGTTATCTCAGCAGAGATAAGGTGCCTGCCCCCCCCATCCCGGGATCACAGCATGCCCCAAACAGGAGGCAGGAGGTTGGACACCACCTCTGTGACACTGATAACTCTGTCAGGAGCATGTCCAGGGCACTCAGCCCCCTGGCCCAGCCCTCTCAGGGGCTGTGTTTGCTCAGGGCACAGGAAAATCACCCCATTGCAGTGTTCAGCTTGTTTTGCTTCCTGACTATTCTTAGCCCAGGGATGACCCCTTCTCTCAGATTTCCAGCCCTGCACCAGGCACAGCACAAGCCCTCAGCAAAGCCTCCCAGCCCAGCCCTCCAAGTGCAGAACTGCTGGGAAAGGGGCAGCCTGGCCTCAGCAGGTGCATTTTCCCCCTGTTCGCTAAAAGAAATAATTAACAGCCTGGTTTAGTAACTTAGCCCTCATTTTAGGGCTAAAACATCTGCAGAAACAGCTTTTCATCCTCCCAGCACATCTATCTCCCTCCTAGCTGTGCTCAGGAGGACTTTGCTTATCATCTTACCTCATCTGACCTTCACCCAGCACTGCACTGGGAAGATCTGCACCCACCAGCCCCATCCCTGGACATCCTGGAGCAGCCCAGAGCCCCATCCTGAGCCCAGCCCAGAGCCCAGCCCAGAGCCCCAGCCCAGCCCTGTCCCCTGCTCGTGCCAGCCCTCAGCAGGGCTGAGATGCCACAGGACGATGCAAGGCAGCTCAGAAATAACTTCCATGTGCTGAGGCACCTGTTCCCAGAGCAGCAAGGCTTCCCTGCCGCTGCTACCCAGAGTCTGGGAGCAACTGCTCCTGTTTGCATCTGTCAGGCATTCATTACCCGGGATGGGGAGGCCAGGCCTCAGGAGTGCTTATTCAGGATGCTGGAGCCAGGGCTGGAATGCTCAGGCATGGCAAAGGGGCATTCCAGGAGGGGAACCTTGGCATACCCATGGCTCCAGAGGGTCTCTAATCTCACTGTTCCCCACAAGGAGCTTTTTGGAGACAAATAAAGGCAGAACTCGGCCCCCTCTGCCTCAGAGTCACTGTCTGCTTCTGCCACCACTGTTCCCCTTCTGTGATGGGTCTGGGGCTTGGCTCCAAGCCCCCCTCCAGCACCATCCCCAGGATCCCTGCTTCCCACCAACAGCAATTCCTGCTTTTCCCCCAGGCTCAGCATGGTCCTGATGCCCCAAGTTTGGCCAAATCTGAGCTCCACACAATCATTTCATGGCACAGGAGAAAAGGGTTCCCAGTCCCCAAGCCTCCTCCTACATTCCCACTGCCCTCCTCCCTCAGACACCGTTAGATCCTACAGAGCTGAGGGAACAGCAACAAGTCCGGCACTGTTAAGAGGATACACAAAAGAGAAAGTGGCTCAAGGAAATATTTATGCGTCCTCTGCACAGAAACACATAAACCTTTTCATTAAAGCTTGGAAATCTTGATTTGGTAGAATTAGGAGAACCGAGCAGATATTACAGAGATGAAGAGGAAACATTGCACTGACTAGAAAAAAATCTCCAACAATTTGCTGTGTATTAAACAATCCAGATATTCCTCACACTCCTTGAAATCCCCCTGTCCTTTAGCTCAGGGCTGGCTGCTCACAGCTCTGAGGCTGAGTTAATCCTCCACAGTTCTGAGTCTCTGCTTTCCTCCAGGCTGCCCAGAGATGGAGCTCTCCTTTCCCAAGAATGGGTCATGTCCCTGCTCCAGGTCTGCTTGGCAGGGTCAGACCAGGCACAGGAGCATCCCATCCCATCCCATCCCATCCCATCCCATCCCATCCCATCCCATTCCATCCCATCCCAACCCACCCCTGGGCTGCCGCAGAGCCAGGGTCAGGCTGCCCATGGGCATCCCATCCCTGCTGTCACTGCAGACACAGGAATGGGATCCGGGAGATTTCCCAGGGCAGCCAAAACCCCTCTGAGCCACCTGGGCACCCACCAGGGTGGTCCAAAACAGAAATGGCAAACGCAACCCCCTGGAGAGGCTGCAGATGCTTTATGCATGGGAATGCCTGCACGGCATAAAACACCCGGGAGAGCGGCTGGGACACCCTGAGCCTGGAGCCCATCCCGGAGCCGAGACCGGAGCTGAGACCAGAGCCAAGACTGGAGCCAATCCCTGCGGAGGGGTGGCCGGGGATGCCCCGGTCCGGGAGCCCATCCCAGAGCCCATCCCGGAGCCGATCCCCCCAAGGGGCGACCAGAGACACTCCGATCCCGGGGCCCATCCCAGAGCCCATCCGCAGCCCATCCCGAGCCCATCCTGGACCCGATCCTGGACCAGATCCCCCGAGGGGCAGGGGGTGATGCCCCGAGCCCGGAGCCCATCCCGGAGCCCATCCTGGACCCCACCTCGGGGCCCATCCCGAGCCGATCCCGGATCCCATCCCGGGCCGATCCCGAGCCCATCCCAAGCCCATCCCGGATCCCATCCTGGACCCCATCCCGGGCCCATCCCGAGCCCATCCCGGATCCCATCCTGGACCCCATCCCGGAGCCCATCCCGGACCTCATCCCGAGCCGATCCTGAGCCCATCCCGGAGCCCATCCCGAGCCCATCCCGGAGCCCATCCCGAGCCCATCCCGGGCCGATCCTGAGCCCATCCCGAGCCCATCCCGGAGCCCATCCCTGATCCCATCCCGGACCCCATCCCGGAGCCATCCCGGACCCCATCCCGAGCCCATCGCGGAGCCCATCCCGGAGCCCATCTCGGAGCCCATCCCCAGCCCATCGCGGAGCCCATCCCTGATCCCATCCCGGACCCCATCCTGGGGCCGATCCCCCGCGGGCCGGCGCCGCCCCAGCTGTACCTGGGCGCCGGAGCTGCGGGAGCGCGGGGAGCCGCGGGGTCTGGGCAAGGCTCTTTGGGCCAGGAGGCTTTAAGGGGCTGCAGCGCCCACCCCGGGGCGGGCAGCGCCGCAGGAATGTGCCCGGCGCCCAGCGAGGAATGCAACACTTGTGAGCTGCTATTTCGGCAGCCGCGGCCCTGGCCCCCTCCGCCGCTCCCCCTTCCCCCCCAGGAGCCCATATAAGCCCAAGCTATTGTATGGCCTCAGAGATTTGCTATTTTAAACCCTCCGGAGCGAGATACGTGAGTGCCCGAGGGGCTGACACAAGCCAGCCCAGCTGTCACCGCGGCCGGGACGCTGATAAGGCAGCGCTGTCACCAGCACTGGAGCAGCCCCTGCCCGCAGCTCCGGCCCGGCTCCCGCAGCCCTGCTCCCACCGCGGGATGCTGCAATCACAAGGGAAGAGTCTGCTTTTAACCCTCCAGGACACATTGGATTCGGGGTTTTCCCTGTTTTCCCCTTGTCGGGAGAAGGGAAGGGAACAGTTTCCAGTCCCAGGCCAGCAGTAGGTGACCAGGAGTGTTTTAGAAAGAGCAACTTTTATTAGAAAACAAAAAAAGCAGAGTCCTTTCCCAAGCCTAACAAGCAGGATCAGCTCCAGGGGCAGCAGCAGATTCCCATGCTGAATTTGTCACCCAGTGATTGTTCAAGGCACAACCCAAACCCAAAGAATGGCCCCAATCAGAGAATTTGAGCCCTTTGCCCATGGCACCCTAAAGCCACCCTAAAGGCTGTGAGAGAGCATCCCCCATCCCTGCTGGGTGGGCTCAGAAGCCACAGGAATGCAGGATCAGGGCCTGCACAGCACAGGGCTCAGGAGGAAAGGCAAGAGGGAAATGGGGCCCACCCCGTTGCACTCAGCTCCATGAAATCCCCCAACAGGGCTGTGGCCATGGCCAGGGCCAGCTCAGCTTCCCTGGGTCACTGGATGGAGGGTCAGTGCCTGCAGGGGCAGGGGAGGGCAGGGACAAGGACAAGTCTCTGGTTCAGCTGTGTGTGGAGGGAAACACCAGGGCCAAGTCCCCCCTCATTCCATGGGACATCTCTGAGCACTCGTGAGCCTCTGGTTGTGCCCCTGTGGCAGGGACAGCCTGGCAGGGTGACAGTGCCTGCCCCAGGCAGGAGGGACAGACGTGGTCCGTGGATGTGCAGCTGGAGCTCCCTCAGCCAGGCAGGTTCTGACATCCTCCAGCTGCCAGGGAGCCCTGTGGGGATCCCTTTGCCAGGGCAGCTCTGGGGCACAGGCAGAGATCAGCAACAGAACAGCAAAATGTGCTGGGCAAACAAGGCAGGAGTTTGCCTTCAGCATCTGTGGGGAGCCTGCAGGCCTGGACAGACCCACAGACAGGCAGTGATGGGGACTGGGGGCACAGGGAGACTCTTCAAGGCTTCTTCCTTCCCATCCCACAAGCAGAGGACCCCATGCCCTGGGCTGCACCCACACATGGCACAGGGGACTCGTGGCAGTGGCTGCTGGACGGTTGGGTAGGGCTGGGCTTTGATCTTTGGAGCAAACCAGTTTTTCCCAGATGGTCTGATAGCACAGCTGGTGTTACTGCAACTGCAAAACAAAGTGGGAACCACTGAGGCTGTGCCTGAGGCTGCAACCCCCCCCAGAGCAGCTGCTTTCACCAGGACAGTGGCTGAGCCCAGCAGGGGATGGGGCAGGCAGGGATCCCCTAAACCCCATGACAGCCCCTTCCCTTCTCCTCCCAGACCAGAGTCCTCCTCTCCCTCACAGATGCCTCCAGTTGTCCCCTCCTGCTGACTTCCCAAAGTCACAGGGTCCTGATTCCCCCACGTCACCTCTCCCTGTATATCTGGCTCTGCCTCTGCCTCAGATGATGCACCAGGTTCCAGAGCAGCTCCACAATTACCTTGGTGTCTCCAGAGGTGTCCCCAGGCTGCTTTATCCAGACATCTCGCTTTGCCAGGCTGTTGATTCTCCGGATTTCCTGCAAACAGAAGAGTCAGAAGTGACAGGAGAAGTTTTCCCCAAGCATCTTGTGCAGCATTGTCTTGGTGTGACTGTACCCAGACCTTGAAGCACACAGTGTCTAGGTGAAACCAGCCAGCTTTGGGATCCTTCCTGCACCTGGGAGACCCTCAGAGCCAAGGGCAGCTCCAGCCACAGAAGTGGAGCAGGTGCTTTTGAAGGAGAACTGACCAAGGACTTGCAGGCTTTCCCCAGGAGTCACCCCAGGAGCAAACCCTTTGCTGGTACAGACATGTCTGGGCAGTGCTGATCTCCCAGCCCAGCCTGGACCCACCTTCCCTGGCTGCAGGGCTGGGCTGGAGCTGCCCCTCCTGGGCTGCCACGAGCAGGGGCCAAAGCCCTCCCTGCTGTGAGCAGAGAGCCCTGCCCAGGAGCTGCTGAGCCCCTCCTTTCCAGGAACACCAAACAACCAAAGGCTCTCTTGTCCCTCTCCTGCACGGTGGCCAAGTGGTGACCTCTGAGTCCCCTTGGCTGGACACCTGGCACCCACAGCCACAAGACCCCCTCATTTTGGGGGGCTGGTTTGAAGTGGGGGCGCAGATGATTCCAGACCCCTCAAGACCCTCAGAGCTGAGGGGCTGAGCACACAGCTCCTCTCCCACTGGCCCCAGGCAGAGCTGCTCATCCAGACACAGGAGATGGATGGCAGAGATGGGATCCTGCTGGGGGCAGGGTCAGGTACCCCTGTGTGTTCTGGGACATGCACCCAGCTGGCTCCTCTCCCTCCTCAACCTCAAGGGCTGGAATCAGCTGTCCTGGGAATTTTGGGCTCACAGTCAGGACGCAGCAACAAGGAGAGCCCTGATATCTCATTGTGGTGGCCCTGCAGCTCCGACACCTCGAACCTGGCCAAACTGCTCCCAAACCCTTTAATAGGTTCAGCCAAGGGTTCATCCACCCTTCAACACCACCCCAAGGCATAGCACCATGTCCTGTGAGCCTGCCTGCTCTCAGGGCTCTCACTTGAAGCTGACACAAGCTGCTACCTTGCCATTCTCCTCCTTGGCAGGCTCCTGAGCTCGGCTGATCCACAGATTAATGCGGGATGTCACCGACCCTGGGATCTTGAGGCTGTCCTGAGGCACAGAGAGGGACACCGGGGTTACAGCAGTGGCTCTGCCTGCACGAATGTAACCCGGCCCGGTCCGCAGGGCCCAGCCCACACACTGGCTCCATCCCAGCTCCCCAGATTCCAGCGCTCGGCAAGAACCCACACAGCGCCGGGACAGCCCTGGCACCGGCTCTTCCATCCCTGCCGCAGCCTGCCAGGCCAAGCCTGGATCGGGAGAGGGGAAATTGGCCCCAGAGCGGAGCCTGCCCCGCTCAGAGCGCTCCGGGCCCGCTCCGGCCTCACCTTCCTGGGAGCCGCCGGCTCGGCCTTGGCCGGAGCGCTGCGCTCGAAGAAGTTGCGCTTGCTCGCCACGCCCTCCGAGGAGAGCAGGCGGCTCTTCTGGGCCGGCACGGAGGATTTCACCCCCTCCGAGCGCTGCGAGAGAGAGAGAGGGGCGTCAGCGGGGCTGTATGCCGCGGTGAAAAGGAAAGTCCAGCTTCCGGCTCATACCCTGAGCCCTTGGGGTCCGGTCCTGCTGGCCATCCCCAGCTCAGCCTTGTGCACTGCTCCCCTCAACGGACCACAGCACCCCCAGAGCCTCTCCACAGTGCATCTCCTCCCTGCAGGGCCATGCTGCAGCATCCCCAGACCCCTGCAAGGGTCCCTGCTCCTAAAACCCTGAGGCCAATCCCTTTTCCTGCCTTTCCACCTCCTTCACCCCCATCAGCTCTGTACTTGGTGCAGCTCAGGCCCTCCCTCCCCACTGGGCTCCAGGCCACCCCTCTCTGTCTCCCACCCCTCCTGGCTCTGCTGAGGGCCCTCAGTACCTGCACAGCTGAGTTGTACTTTTCCAGCTTCTCCCCAATGGTGCTGTTGCTGCCTGGGATCCTCAGACTCGCACTGGGGAACAAGAGGGAAGAGTTGAAACAGCCCCCCCAGGATGTCCTGGGATCAGCCCATGGTCCTGGGGCAGCAGGAGGAGGCCCCATCCCACCCAGCACTCCTGCATCTGTCAGGTGCACCAGGCAGCCCAGTCCTGCTGGTGACTGAGCTCTCTGGGTGTCACTGCCTTTCCAGGGCCACACTCAACACCAAAACACCTCAGAGCTCCTCAGCCTGCCCTGGGTTCAGCCCTGCCAGCCCTGAATGCATCACCCCCAATGTCAGTGTGGCTCTGCATACACCTGCCCACAGAGGGGGGAAGGATCCCCTGATCTGGTCACCAAAGCCAGGTCAGGCTGCTCATGGAGCTGTTTTGATGTCCCCATGGATGGGACCTGTGCACACAAGCACCAACGTGGAGCTCTATGACCCCAGAGAAGTGGGGGCTTGCTGGGGGATATTGGAGCAACCTGGCACAGTGGAGGATGTTCCTGCCCATGGCAGGGGCTGGAGTGAGATCTGCAGGGTCCCTTGGAATCCAAACCATTCTGTGGTTCCAGGATCTCATTCAGATGCAAGATGCACTTGGACATTGTCCTGTCCCCTGCCACTCCACAGGGCTGGGGACCAATGTCCAGCAGATCTGAGCCAGGACCCAGCACCTCCTCCTGCCTGGGAAAACAAAGGATGGCCATTCCTGCCCAGCAGGACCAAAGCAACACGACAAGAGGTGCTGACCTCCTTGTGAGAGGGCTTTGGCTCTCTTCTTTCTGCTTCTTGGAGATGATCTGGAAGAGACAAGGAGAGGAGATCCTGCAGTGAACTTTGCTTATCCAAGATAAACATGGGAGGCACTATCTTACTGATCTCCCCCAGGAAAGCTCCATTTGCACCCACACCAGAGCTTATCTCATATCAAAGCTCCCCAGACCATAGACACTTTATGGTGATAACAGTTTTATTTCCAGTAAAGCCTCATGGAAGTCAATCAAGTGTAGCCAGTCAGCCCTGACTCACAGCAGGGATGATCTTGACAGTTCTAGGCTTTCCCAGCCTCTCCAATCACTTCATTCCAGAGATCTCTTTTGAAATGAAATATATTCTCAGACTGTAACATGGGATGAGAGGGAGGATAGATGCTATTTTTATCCTGTGCTTTCACATAAGACTGGAAAGGCTTGGAAGAGGGATGGCAATTCCTGTGGCTCTGGAAATTCTGAGGACAATGAGTTCCCTGTTTTCTCATCACTTCCCATAAGTTTTCTGGCCAGCACAAGATGGATGAACTGGACATGTTCATCCTCATGGAGAAGGAAAACAGGGGGAAGATGGAAGCAGGACTGCAGTGCCCAGACCAAGGGGGAGTTTTGAGCACACTTCTGGGAACAGGTTCTGCCCACATAATCCAGAGGCCACAGCAATCCTTCCTTCCCCCCATCCTCCTCTGCCTCACTGGAATCCTTTCCCCGCCTGCTTCAGCTCTTCTTACCCTGAAGGAGACGGTTCTGGGGCTGGCCCGTCGGATGGAGGTGACGTGGGTTGGAGAAGGCTCTGGCTTTTCTTCAGCTTCATCCTGGGGAGGGGACAGCTGGATTACCTGCTTTGAGGGGTTCCTGGATGGCTGCTGAGGAAAAAGGAGACTTCAGATGCATCCCTGCAGAGCCTGCAGGGAGGACTGAGGTCCAGGAGTGGGACAGTCAGGGCAGGAACTGGGTTGGAGGCCAGAGTTCGAGAACAAAACCCTCCAAACCTTTCCTGTCTCCGTTGGACATACAGAGTCCCCAACAGCCCTTCAGTGTCCCCATGATGGCAATCAGCAGGACTTGCTGGAGAAGGTGATCAGGACAGCACAGACCAGGGAGGGGAAGGAGGTGGTGGGACCCTGTTCACCACCTCGTGCTTTGCAGCTCTCCGAAAATCCTTCCTCAAAATCCATCAGGTCCCGTTTCCCTCCTGGTACTTTTGGGCTGTGTTTTTCTCTGGTTCTCCCAGCACCCAGGGAAGGTGCGAACCTCTCCCCCCCCGAGGCCTGGTGCCCCATCCATTCCTGCTTACCTGCTGCTCTGCAGATGAGGCCACCGCTGAGCTTTTCTCTTCTGCGCTGCGGTTCCCCACCCTGGTGAGGATCTTCACCTCCCGGAGCCGGCAGCTCCCCACCTCTGGTGGCTCCTTTACCTCCTTCCTCTGCTCCCCCCGAGCAGCCTGCACTCCCTGCTCTGTGTCCTGGAGCCGTGCCCTCAGCACCACCTTCCTCTCGGGGGCTGGCTCCGGGTTCCTGTCCCGGGCCAGGTCCCCCCTGCCCCCGGGCGCCTCCTCTGCAGCGCGGCCGCTCTGCTGCCTCCCGCGGGGCTGTGCCTCTGTCTGCGGGCAGCTCTCGGCCACCCCCGCCTCCTTCTGCTCCTTCTCCTGCCGCAGCTTTTCGGACACGGATGGGAGGCACCTCGTCCTTCTCCCTTCCTGTGTCTTCAGCACCTCTGAGAGCTTTCGCTCCTCCCCGTCCTCCGGAGACTGCGGCTTCACCAGGGACGAAGGTCTAGAGACAGGGACAACATGGGATGACAACCTCAGCACTGGGACTAGAGGGGTGCATTTCGTGCTGCAAGTGAGGCAAAAGGCTCTGCAGAGGAAATAAAAATCCCACAAACATCTTGGAGTCCTCCCTGCAGACCACGCTTGCAGCCACTCTCATCCCCATCACACCAGCTCGGCTGTCTGAGAAAAAGTTTGGATTAAAATTCTTTTTTTTCCTTTCTGTCATAGAGATGAAGCATTTCTGCAGCCTCATCCCAGGACACCAGGACCCACCAAGTCCTGTGCCAAGGAGATCCAGGCTCAGGGCAGTGTGCTGGGTCTGCTGCTGGATAAGAATTGGCTGTGACTCTTCACTGGACTAGGAAAAATCCCACCAACTTCAAGTGGGAAGTGTTGGCTGGAAGCCAATCTGTTCTGGCAGGTCCACCCACAGTCCCACAACCTGTGAAAAGCTGTTTCCCCTCCTTCCCCCAGACAAACAGGCACAAGGCCTGGGAAGGGGCAGGAGGACACCTGGCAGGCTGTGTCTGCACACTCCCAGCACTGGGGAGGAGATGGGATAACATCTGCCCTCCTCCTGAATTGCAATCACCACATGGCCAGCCTGTGTCAGCACCTTGTCCTTCCCAGCTGGTTCATTTTAGTCATTCCCCATATCCAGCCCAAGTGTCCCAACTCCATCCTGTGAAACACAGGAACACCTCTGGAGTGGGAGCATCACTGTGGACACAAACCACATAAACACTGGACACTCCCAGGACCAATTTAGAGAGTAGGTCAGGTTGTGTAAGGGCAGCCTGGTCCCAGAGTACCTCCAAACCCCAGCTCCCTGCAGCCAGGGACTTTGGCAGCACCAGTGGAAAGCCCTTGGCTCAGATCCCCACTTCAGGAAAGGAGCCACAGCGTCACTGTGAGGTCCAGAGGGGCAGCACAGCCAGCCAGGCTCTGCCTGCTCTGCTGCCCTGCACAGCTGGGCACCTCTCACCTGCTGCAGATCCCCCTGTAGGCCCACCCTGAGCCTGGCCCTGGCACCAGCCCTCCCTCACTCCAGTCCCTGTGCCATGGGGAACCCACCCGAGGTGCCCTCCTTGTGCCCCCCTTGTGCCCATCCGTCCTCCCCAGGGCTGTGAGCTCTGCCCACAGCTCAGCCCTCCCTCAGCAGCTGCCAGGGCCCGGGGTCAGGAGCCAGGCCAGTGCCAGCAGGGCCCCACAGACCTGCTGGAGGCTGGGCTGGTGTCCTTGGCAGGGCTGGCAGGTTCCTCCTCTGTGGAGGTGGATGACAGCAGGTTCCGGTGCCTTCGGCGGCGCTCTCTTTGCTGCTCTTCCTCATCCTCCAGGGTCCTCTGCCTGGCCAGGCTGTTTGGGAGGAAACACAAAGACATGGGGAGGCTGCATCCTGCATGGGCACCCTGAAGCCCTGGTGCCAGACAAGAAAGGAACTGCTACATCCTGGGCAAGGCCAAGGGCTGGCAGAAGTCACCTTGCTGGAGGAGAGCAGGGCCAGCACAAGCCAAGCGCCCCAAAGGGCTCTCACTCCACCCAGCTGATGCAGGCCCTTCCCAAAGCAAGCACTTGACTTCCCAGCTCCCATTTTCTCCTGCTGGAGGGAGCACTCATTTCAAAGGAGTCCCTACATTAAGCAAACCTTGCAGGGGAAGGATATTGAACCTGTAACTCAGCCAGACCAGGACCCTTGAGCTACCACACAGACCTCAACCACACAAACTGGAAGGGTAACCACTATGGCGCAAGATATTAGGCCAAAACCAAGATGTGGTGATGGCAATTTAATTTTTATAGAGCAAAAAGCCTCAGATGCAAAATCTCAGAGGCTGAAGGCAACTGCTGAGAGGCTCTGCCTGGGGATGGGGCTGGCAGGGCTCCACTCCCCTGCATGTGCCTGGACTGGGAATTGTTTATAATCACAGACTGAGACAAAAAGATGAGGTTTGGAATCATCTTTGAGCATTTTATTTTGCACAATGTGGGTTGGGTTTTACTAGTTTTGGTTTTTGTTTTGTTTTAATAAAATGCCACTTGGAATAAAAAGTTGTCCAGAAAACACCAGCTCTGCCATCCTTTCTCTGTGCCAAAGCTGCCCACCCTCTGTGCTGGTGCATGAAATGTGCTGGAAAATATTTTTATTGGCTGATGGAGCTTTTCAGAGCCTGGTTCTCCCCCAGCACGAGCCCTCAATCAGCCACAAACACTGCAGGGCACCCAGGGGAGCCTCCCTGCCCAGGTCCGTGCCAGGAGCTCGGCCCAGCTCAGCCTTTGCCACCAATTTGACTTTTAGTGAAAGTCAGAGGGGCAGGGCCGCATTGCGAGCGGGGACTCGCGGCTGGTTCCGAGTTACTCAGTAATCCCAGCCGGTCATAAATTAATCCGCTTTACCCCCCGCGAGTGCTCGGTGCGGCTTCTGCTCCTCCTGCCGGGGCGGGCGGGAGCGGCGGGGCAGCGGAGCGCGGAGGGGGCGAGCACAGGGACAGGGCTGGGGACAGGGACAGGGCTGGGGACAGGGACAGGGCAGGACAGGGCTGGAGACAGGGACAGGGCTGGGGACAGGGACAGGGCAGGACAGGGCTGGAGACAGGGCTGGGACAGGGACAGGGCTGGGGACAGGGACAGGGCTGGGGACAGGGCAGTGTGGGCTGGGGACAGGGCTGCCCTGCCCTGCCCTTCCCTCCACTGGCCCCGCAGCCGAACAGCCCCAGCAGCAATCGGACCCAGGCTGGGGAGCTCCGGGCGGGCTCTGATGCCTGCTCAGCACCGGGACGGACGGGGCTGGCGAAGGCTGGGACAGCCCAGGGAGCATCCCCCTGGATGGGATGTGCTCAGGGAGCATCCCCTGGATGGGACAGCCCGGCCGTGCTCGCACAGCCCCGGCGCTCCCGGGCACATCCCAGCCCGCACATCCCAGCCGCAGATTCCCGGGGAGGGGACACAGATCCCGGCGCTCTGCACTCCTGTCCCTCAAGCAGTGACCTCACGGAGCATTAATGCTGAGCTAAATCCTCACAACGACCAGGAACTTCTTTGATTTTACACAGCCTCCTTCCAAGTGAAAATGGGATTTTCCTGCCTTGAATTACCGTGGCTCCTTCTGAGGCAGCACAAAACCTGGCACTATCCACAGGCAGCTCCTCGTTATTTGTAATTAAGTGATCCACCCATCAGGCTATGGATTCACTCTGCCAATCTTTCTCTCCTCTTTTCAAAGATGGATTTATTTTTCGCTGTCTTACCTTTTTTAACTGAAAGAGATGAGTAAAAAACTTTGGCAAGTGTCCCTGCCTTGTCCTCTCCTGCCCTGTCAATGATTAGTGCAGAGGTTTCTGACATTTCTGCTGTTTCAGTGCTGCCTCATCTCAGGAGAGCTCAGGAAATGCCTCCCGGGCTTGGGGAGCACACGGTGCGCAGGACCCAGCTGGGCTGGGGTTGGGGCAGGTCTGGCTCAGGGGAGATGGATCAGGACAGGGCTGGAGGGGCCTCTGGATCTGTCCCACTCACGCCAGAGGCAGCTGAGAGCTGGTGGCCTCTGAGCAGAGGGGTCTCAACTAAGATAAGGAAGTTTTTCACACTGAGAGTGGGCAGGCCCTGGCACTCAGGGCACTCACAGCAGCTGTGGCTGCCTCTGGATCCCTGGCAGTGTCCAAGGCCAGACTGGACAGGGCTTGGAGCAGCCTGGGACAGTGGAAGGTGTCCCTGCCATGGCAGGGGTGGGACTGGATGAGCTTTAAGGTCCTTCCCACCCAAACCAGTCTGGGATTCTGTGGACTCCCCTTCTTATATCTGGTACTGAGGTTTGCAATTAAGTCTCAGAGCCATAGCATCCATTTGGGCCAGGGTTCCTGCTCTGTTTGAGTTTCCATCCCAACCCCAGGCTGCCCTGGGGTCTGCAGGGGGTCAGGGCTGATCCCACCTCGCTCCAGCCTCGTGTGAGAGCCTGACCCAGCCCAGGGTGCCCAGGAGCCTCCCCTGCTCTGGAGCACTCTTTGGGGAGCCGAGGGAGCTGGTGGTGCTGCAGGGATTGCTCAGGGATTGCTCAGTGCCGCTGAATCAGGGCTGGCTCAGCACAGGAGGGGCTGCAGACTCCGCAGGCAGAGCAGGACTCACACCCGGGGGCTGCATGGGCATGGAGGGAGGCAAACACCCCCAGGCAGCTCAGAGCAAGGCTGGAGGCACGGCCCAGATGGTCTGTTCCCCAAAGAAAGGCAAACCAGACCCAAAATGTATCCAGCATGGCGCGAGAACGCTTATCCAGGTAATTCTCCTCTGCCTGGCCCAGCTTCCCCAGGCAGCAGAAACAAAAACGCCTCTGATCTTGCCCAGCCACAAGGAACTCCAGCAGCGCCGAGCTCTCCGTGGGGCTGGCATTCACCTCTGCAAACAGCAAACACCCCCAGGGCAGCTGCCCCCTCCTCCCATCCTCCCCAAGCCCCTGGCTACCCTCACCCCTCCTTAAAGGGTTAAGCATTGATCCCCAGCACTCACCTGGAGAGATCGGACCAGTTCCTCCTGCTGAAGGACATCGCTGCTGGCCGGGAGTTCAGAGAGGCCCCAGAAGCTGAGCGGGCATCCAGGCCCAGGGAGCCGGGGCTCGGCGCTGCCCGGAGACTGTGCTCTGAGGAGGGAGGGACGGAGGGAGGGAGGAACTCCCTGCAAGGTTATTTCCCTGTGCACCTTCACCCTCCCTGCCTGCTCCCACCAGCCGCATCACATGGTTCCTTATCTACCTGGCACAGGCAGGGCTGTGATTTGTGTGCCAGCGGCCCAGGGCCGCCCTGCCCAGCAGTGCCCTCCTCGCTGCCAGGCCCGGGACCCGCGGCTCGGGCCATGCACGGCTCCGGGCTTTCGGAGACAACTCCCTGCACAGAACCTGTTCTACCAGCCGCGATCCGCCCGTCAACAACCGCTGCAGCCCGCGGAGGAGGCGAATTACCCGGGCCGAGTGGGAGGAGGTTGGCTCCGGGGATCCAAAACAGTCATTAAAACACCTCCGGCTGGGCGCAGTGCGGCCTTAACAGAGCTTGGGAGGGTCCCCTGCTCCTTCCAACCTTTCTAGATTCTCAAATGGAGCTGTCAAGGTCTTCTCGTTCTTGGGCTTTGCTGCAGCAGTGAGCACTCACAGTCTCAGAAGGGCCTGGGGCATGGGGGGATGCAATTTTTGTGTGCTGTAGCCCTGTGCCAGAGAGGGCCTGTGTGCCCAGGTTCATCCCTCACCCAGACCCACCCTGCTCTGTGCCCCAAGACCCCCATCCTTACTCAGAGCAGCCCTTCCTGCCAAGGGCAGGTGTGGAGCCATGGGGTCACTGCCTTTGGTGGGATTGTCTTAGGGGAGGATGGGGGGCCCAGGCACAGCAGAGCCAGGTCCCAGCCCGGATTTTCCCACAGCATGGCCTCGACCCCACTGCTCGGGCTGCCAGGCACTATTCCCTGCCTGTCATCCAGGAAATGTCATCCAGGACCCCTTGAGTACAAGCTCTGTTCCCAGTGAGATCCATCCCTGCCCCAGCCCGAGGAACTGGTTGTGAGGCTGGGCTGGCCCTGCATGCCTCCAGCCCACAGGGGTGTGCCGTGACCTGAGCAATGATTTTAATCAAAGGCTCCTGATTAAAATCCCATTTCTAGGAGATAGCCCTGTCAAACGAGCTGCCTGCTCCAAGCAGGGCTCGCTCTCTGCTCTTCTTTCTTCTCGCAGTAATCGCTCGCCTTTCAAGTGTTTTCATATATACAGAGAATTCAGTTAGTTGTGGCATAAGGGAAAAAAATTACTTAAATAACCTTGCAAGCATCCTGCTAATTGCTGACAGACTATATATAGCAGCCCAGCATCAGCAGCTCCTCTAGAGCAATAAAAACTCTGTGATTAATGCACAGCGAGCACGGCGCTCACAAAACTCATTGCCAAAGGATAGCACTGGAGCACAGGACTTAGCGGGGTTTTCCAAAGGATTAGACTAAACGTGGCAGTGAAAGAACACCCCCAGCTAGGATCTACACAGCAAAGGAATATAAAACCTCCCAGTCTGCAATTCCTCTGGTTATTAAGTTGAAGAAATTCTAGATGGGCATTTAGTGCCTGGGGATTAGTCAGAGGATGAGCCTGGCTGACACTCGCCCCCTCGCTGACACTTGCCCCTTCCTGGGGCTTTATTTGCAGCTCAGAAACCTTTTGAGTTGAACAGAGCTTCCTCTTTATTCAAGATACCTCAGAAGCTTTCTCCTCCATGGTTTGCCCTGTTTCCCTCAAACCCAGGAAAACGGTCAGAGGATAAAATCTCCTTTAGCCAGAAGTCCCCAAGGCCCATTCCCCAGTGCTGGGAATCTGGAAATTCCCCAGATTCCCCAGTGCTGGGAATCTCCTCCTTTATCTTGGATGGGTCTTGCTGGGCGGTGCAGCAGCACAGAGCATTGACCTCTCATGTCTGGAGATCTTTGCTGCCATGGAGCTCCTGTTTTCCCTGATGTTCCTCACCTCCTTTCATGTCCATCATAACCCCAAAATTTCACTCCTAAGGAGGTAAAGCCAAGGTCCAGAGCCCCTCATCTCATAGATGAAGTTGTGTTGGATTTTTCCCCTGTGTGTCACTTCATACCCCTGTAAACCTCCTTTGCCATTTTATCCCCAAACTCCAATGCTGCCAGACGCTTCTGAATGTCTGCATCACCAGTCTCCCCTCTGCTGTGACAAAATCCCAGGAATTATCAGCACTTTGTTATCTCACTACTGTTTCCTCTCTGCTGGTTGATTATTTAGCTCTGTTTGGACTTTCCCTCTGAGCTGTGTTTGACCTAAAGGTCTTTGCTTCTGGAATCCCAGGAAAATGCTTGTGTCCCGGATCACCCTTATCCATAGGCTTATTGATGCCTTCAGCAAACAGCAGTCGCTTTGTCAGACCGGATTTCCCTCAGCAAAGTTATTTAGGCCACCCTGAGCGCATCCTCAAAGCACAGCCCAAGCTGCAGGTCCCAGAGCTGAGGGTGATGAAATCAGGCAGAGGGATGAGTCTGTGAGGGAAGGGATGCCCAGAGAACCAATCTGGTGTTTATCCAGACCCACTCCATTCTCCAGGCTGTCCCATCTGCTGTTCCAGACCCACAGCCCCCAGGGGAAGGCTCTGTGCTCGTGGCCCGGGGAGCAGAGCTGCAGGATGTGCCCCGAGCCTTCTCCCCTGCTCTGCCCAGGGGAGCTGCACCTGCCCGAGGAGGAGCCCAGAGCTTCCCCTGGTGTGATCAGCAGAGCTCATTAATACCCTCTAAGGAGCTAGACCAGTTTCAGCAGGGCTGCTTTTTCCCTTGGGAACAGTGTCCTGTGTCTCATCACAGTGCAGAGCCTGTTTCTTTGGCTACAGGGTGGTGGAGAGCTCCAAGTTTGCACAACTGTGTGTAATTATGGCATTCCTCAGCTTCTCCTGGGGCCCAGCTCTGAACCCTGCACCTCCATCCCTTGTGCTGTGCTGGTCCCTCAGCCTCAGCCATGCCTCAGCTCCCCTCTCTCTCCTGAGGCTCATCCCTGCTGCTCTGCCGTGGTGGAGCTGCATTTTCTTCCCAGGCTTCCCTCCTGAGCTGGGGCATGGGGCTCCATGGCCAGGAAAAGGGGTTTTCACTCCTGCTAGGCTCCATCCACCACAGCTCCCAGAGGTCCCACCAGCATTCAAAAGCTCTGGGAGGAGCTGGAGTCTCCCTCCATCCCTGGGATGGTGCAGGGCTCTCCCTCCCCCTGAAATGTATTCAGCTTTTGGAGAGATGTGTGTGATGGTGCAGAGAGAGCTCTGTGAAGGGTCTGGAATTGGTGCTTGCTCAGAAACGGAACCATGGCCTTTTCTAGGACAGGAAATATTCCTAGGAAAGGAAGTATCTATTGCCTCAACTGCCTGGCACCAGCTACCGGAGGGCTTATTTTCCTTTAGAATTTAGCTCTTTATTAAAAAAAAAAAGACAAATCTCGCTTCAGAAATTCCACCATGGTGCCTCATTGTCCTTCAGGTTCCCTTTACATTCCTGCAGATTGGCTCCTCATCAGATGCCATCCCTGTGACACTCCAGATCTAACCATGGCAAACGAGGGGCATCCCCCAAAAGTGCCATCAGTGCAAACTCCCAGGTGCTGCACAGAACAGGCTCAGTGCCAGCAGCTCTGTGACAACTGCACCCTCCCAGCACAGGCAGTGACAGAATCCCAGGGTGCCTGGGCTGGAAGGGACCTCTGGGGATCAGGCAGGGTCACCTGGAGCAGGGACACAGGGATATGTCCAGCTGGGTTTGGGATGGCTCCAGAGAGAGACACTCCAGGCCCTCCTTGGGCAGCTTTCCAGGGCTCTGCACCCTCCAAGGAGTGAAGCTCTTCCTCATGCTGAGGTTGAAGTTCTTATTTGTGATTGTGGCCATTGCCCCTTGCTTGTCCTGTCCCTGGGCACCCCTGAGTTGGTTGTGATTCCTGAGGAGCCCCTGAGCAGTGAGGGTCAGGGCTCAGGCCCAGCAAGGACAGCTGGACAAGAGGGATGTGCCCTGCTCACCCTGAGCCCTGCTCCTCCCTGGAGCTGCAGCACATGGGGGGCTCCAGGAGGGAAAAATCCCTTCCTGGTTTCTACCACAGGGGACACACAGGACCAGGGGGCTGTGCCATGGCCCTGCCATGGGGTCTGACCTGCTCCCAGAGCCCTCAGGTGTCCCAGGGTGGTGTTTCAGCCTCACCTCAGGGACTGATCCTGTGCCAGCCCTGTGCAGGGCAAGATGCTGCAGCCACCTGCAGAGGCCATGGGATAAACTTCACTCCCTTCCCATCACCACTGACCTTTCTCCTATCCTCTCTTTGCAGCACCACTCCAGCTGAGCTGCAAATATTCAGGGAAATTTTTGGGCACAGTTCAGGTGTCTCTGAGTGTGACTGGTCAGCAAGGACGTCACACAGCCCCTGTGTGACTTGGAAGGGACCATGTTACAAACAAGGAGGGATGTTTTTGGAAGTCCATACTGCCTTGATCATATTTTTTTTTCCTTCTGTCCAATTTAATTTGAAATTTGTGTAATTTTAAGATTCTAGTGCATTGCTTTGCTTTCTTTTGGGAGTTTAGGCTGCAGTGGAGAAAAGTGCAGGACAGTGGGGACTGGGCTCTGCTCAGCTCAAGGAGACAGGGCTGACTTCCAGTTCCTCTAGAAAGAGACACCAGTGACTCCTCCAGCATCAGCCCCTCTCCCTGAGAGCAGCCTCATGAACTCCCCCATTTGGGCTGAATTTTCAGTACAAATGTATTGGAGGGTTCCTTTCTAATTCAGTGAGCAGAAGCTGAGGTTGTTGTCACCTGGGAGGGAAAATCCATGGCCCTGCAGAGCTGTGGCTGAGGGAAGGCAGCTGCAGCCCTAGTGGGAGGCTCAGCCTTCCCTTTGCCATGGGAGCATTGGCACCCAGCTGGCCCAGGGCCACAGGGCAGCTCCAGGGCAGAGATGGAGAGGAAGGCTTGGATCAGTCCCTGATCCAACCAGGAGAGCTCAGAGCTGACTGTCCATCTTCCCCTGGAGATTCAGTCCCACTAAAAGAGATTTTTTTTCCCCTGCACTTTTTCTGTGTTCCTAATAGAACTGCAATCTGTAGAACTTTGTTTTCCCATGGCAGCCAGTGTGGTTTTTCACCAGAGAGGGATGAAAATGGGACCCAGTAACTGGGGAGCATTATACCTTGAAAAAGTGGGGAATCTTGTAGAGGGAAAGTTTTGGGGTGGGTTTTCCCCTCCCCACTCAATCTAAAACACAAGGCAGCCTCATGAAGCCATCTGTAGCCCATGACAAGGGCCTGTGGGCCCTGGGACCTTGCTGAGCACACCTGGCTGCATTTGGGGCTGCAGATTCTCCCTGGGGAGCCCCTGGGTTTGGCTCTGCAGCAGTTTGGGGTGAGCAGGATCCGAGGGCAGGCTGGGCACAGGGACAGGGACAGACACAGGGACAGGGACAGCCTGAGTGCCCAGCACTGGCCAGGGCCTGCTGCACAGCACCCACCCCCCCTGTGGCCTTTCATCTCCCTTCCATCCCTCCCCAGCCCCGCAAACCCCATCCCTGGTTTTTAATTACTAAATTAGCATAATTGTACTGAGCTCAGAGAACTGTACTCAGCCCCTGCTGTGCCGTTTTCTGCTTCTGTTCCAGCCCTGAAGAAGGCTTTGTTTCCATGAAACTTCTCTTGCATTTTCCAGCTCTACCAGTTGGTCAGGTCACAGTTATTACCTCTCCCTGCACATCTTTCTTCTTCTGCCAGGACCTGTGTGAGTTCCCCCTGGGGATTCCTGGAGACATCCCAGGATCTCAGGCCTGGGCCCTGCCCCTGCCTGGGCCCTGGGCTTGGAGGGGAGAGCTGCAATCCAGAACCTTCTTTCTCCAGAGTGGGCACCATGGCAGGCCCTGGGTCTCACCGCACACCCCTGGGAGCTGAGCCACCCGTGCTGGCCACAACAGAGACACTTCCCAGGGCTGGGCCTGCCTGGAACCTGTCCTGGGGTACCTGGGATGAGGGCAGAGGGGTCCTGGCACCCTGCTAGGCTGCAGCTGCTTGGCCAAATGAAGCTTGAAAAGATAAAAATGGGTGGGAAAGGCTCTGTGTGCCATTCAACTGCTCCAGTCCTGCAGGGGATGCTGAGGGGGTGAAGGGCCAGGTGGAAGAAAGGACAGAGCATCCCAAAGCCTGAGCTAAAGGAGCAGATTTTCCAATGGCAGCCTCCTCTGCTCCAATCCTGATCTGGGGAAGAGTTTGCATTTGAGTTTTGAAACCTCCCTGAAGGAGCTGCAGGGTGTTGTGGCAGCCTTGAATGCTGGTGGCTGGGATAGACAGGTGTCCCCAGTAGTGTCCCCCTCACCTTCTGTGGCCAGGGACAGTGAGCAGAGTGGCTCAGGATCCCCAGATTGGCCAAAGGAAGGGATGTGAGGCCAGAGGAATTCAGCTGTCCTGGAGACAAACCCAAACCCACTCCCCAAAGCCTCTCCCTCACTCCCTCTGCCAGCCATGTCCTGCAGGAGCACCTGCATGGGGCCATCCTGTCCCATGCCCTGCTTTGGGAATGCAGTGTTTTCCTGGGAAGGTTGATCTCTCTGGAGCCCACACACTGTTTGATGCTGTTCCCTTCCAGCCCTGCCTGGGACCTGCCCTTTGCTCTCAGTTTATTGCATTTTCTGCACTTTACAGGCTCACTCCAAAGGGATGGGGGGTGCTGCAGCACACCCTGGTGTGGTGTGGGCTTCAATCTGGGGGTGCTGCAATTCTCTGGATGCCCTGGGAACACAGACAAGGCCCTGCTGTAACTGCCAAGAGAGCTCTGCCTGTGGGCTGAGCATCTCCTGCAGTGCCCCCAGCCAGGAGACCCCAGCAGTTTGAATTCCCACAAATTCACTCCCTCAGCCCTGCTCCAGAGGAGCTGGCACATTCCCAGCTGCCTTCACTGCCCAGCTGCAGGCTGGGGGCTGTGACACAGAAATGGTTGGGCTGGGGGGAAGCACGGGATGTTGGGCCTGAAATATGGAATAATCTCTGGAATTAACCCTTGAAATGCCCCAATTGCCACAGCTACAGTGCTTGTGGTGGGCAGCTGGAGGGGAGCTGGTGTCTGGAGCTCTGAAGGCTTTTCCAGAAGCACAGGAGTGGGGACGGAGAGCAGGCAGCTCTGTTCCCCCAGGCTGGTGCTTGGGGAGCTCTGCAGCCCTGAGCCCAGCAGGGCTGGCCCTGCCCAGGGCCAGGGGGCTCAGCAGGGCTGTGGGATCTGAGGAACAACCCAGGGCTGGAAGGGACGAGCCCAAAGCCTGTGTGAGCCCAGGGAACGCATCTGAGTTCATGGGGAGCAGCATGGGGACACTGCAGGGTGACCTGGCCCTGGGCAGAGTTCCCCAGTGAGGAGTGCACACAGCCTCGGCCCAGGACAGTCCTTTAATGCACATCTGGCTATCAGGGACATCTCGGGGTGCCACGGGGCACAGGGGGCACTGGGGGCACAGGGGGGCACGGGGGGCAGCTCTGCAGGGCTGTCAGGGGTGGGTGGCAGTGGCCCTTGGGGACAGCACAGCCTGTGGCTGCTGAGGGGACGCTGTGCAGGAGCAGGGCTGAGGGCAGTGCTGGAAGGAAGAAGCTCAGGTCTCCTTCCCACACCGCTGTCCTCGTGTTCCAGCTCAGGGGGGATTCAGGGACGGGCACAAAGGGACAGGGAGCAGCGAGGGCAGGCTGGCAGCAGGGACGGGGACGGTCCTCCTCCCAGTGCTCCTGTGGGAAAGAAACAGCAGAGGGGCAGAGGGGCAGAAGAGTAGAGGGGCAGAGGGGCAGAGGGGAGGAAGGGTAGAAGGGCAGAAGGGCAATGGGGCAGAGGGGCAGAGGGACAGAAGGACAGAGGGGCAGAGGGACAGAGGGGCAGAGGGGCAATGGGGCAGAAGGGCAATGGGGAAGAAGGGCAATGGGGCAGAGGGGCAGAGGGGCAGAAGGGCAATGGGGCAGAAGAGTAGAGGGGCAGAGGGGCAGAGGGGCAGAGGGGCAGAAGGGCAATGGGGCAGAGGGCCAGAAGGGCAGAGGGGCAGCATTGGCTGTGGCTGGTGCTCTGGGATGAGGGTGGCACAGGCAGCACACCCAAAGGGCAGCACCCAGCAGAAGAGGAGGGGGCTGGCAGGCACCCCATGGCAGGGAGGTGTGGGACAGACCCCAGCAAAGTGTGGGGTGGGATATGGGGACGGGTGGCCTTTTCTGTAGGGAGTGGGGACATTGCTGTGTCTCTCCAAGCACAGCCCAGGAGGTGAGGGAGCTCAGGGGGATCAGCCCTACCTGTCACTGCCCCGTGGGGGACTTGGCAGCGTCGAACATCTTCTTCCTGCCCTCCATGCCCGACATGGCCTCCACGTTCTTGCGCCAGTCTCCCACTTCCACAGGGCGCTCCTGCCGAGCACAGGGCTGGGCATGAGGCTCTGGCAGCCCTGCCCGACCCTCCCCTGCCTGCACAGACCCCAGCTGGGACACTGCTGCCCCTGGCAAAGCCCCTGTCCCTCTGCCATGTGTCCTGGGGAGGTGGCAAACAGCGCCCTGATCTCCACAGGGAGCTCTGGATCTTTGTGGGCACTCCCCTCCCCAAAGCCTGGCCAAGCTGCTTTCATGCACCAGAAGGCTCAATAATCCCAGAAAGATTTCTTTAGGAGGAAGAAACCACGTGGGACTTTGGGTTTACAGCAGCACAGTGGGGCAAATGTTTGTACTGAAGTAAAACCACTTCCTGAATTGCCCTCACCTTCCCTGAGCCTTTGGTGGTGACTGGGATTGTTGGTGTGACAGTGGGGGCCTGGCAGACACTTCCAGAGCAGCTCTGGGCAGGTGACAGCAGCTCTGGGAGCCCAGGTGTCTGCTCTGCCCCCCAGCATTCATAGATCACAAGCTGTGACCCAACACCATCCCACCACACCTAGAACAATCCCAGATCTGTTCTCCACCTGGTGCCCAGGGCTGTAAGCACAGTTTTCTGTCCAAAGGGCTGGAAAAGTGCTATACCACAATGGGGGTACAAATGAAAAACTGCTGAAAATTGAGATTCTCATCCAATTCTGCTCATCCAATCCTCATTCACTCTGCTGAGCTGGAATGAGCTGGTGAAAGCCCTCTGGGGAGAGGGGATCCCCAGCTGTGCCTGGAGATGAGGCCCAGCTCCTGCTGCTGGGGCACCTGCACACCCCAGGCAGGTTTGGGCATCGCTGGCATCGAGACTTTCCCTTCTCACACCTCTGCCAAGCAGGTGGGGACTGGGCCATTTATCTCAGGCCAACTGCTGGGCTGCTCTGTCTTATCTAATCTGAGTCTGGGAGTTCCCTGGGAGATTTCTGAGTGTGATTGTGCCCAGCAGGAGCTCTTGTGGTTCCCTACAAGATCAAACTCTGCATGTGCAGCTGAGCCATGGTGCTGGGGGGCCCTGGTGAGAGACCCCCCCACACTCTGGGAGGGAAGAGCACCACAGACACTGCCCTAAATCTCACCAGTTTCCATCCACCTGGCCCAGCCAGATCCCTAAATCTCACCAGTCTCCATCCACCTGGCCCAGTCAGATCCCTAAATCCCACCAGTCTCCATCCACCTGGCCCAGTCAGACTGGTCCCACACGGTCCCACAAGATCCCACAGTGGGAATGGCGTCACAGGGCTCTTTCCAAGGCTAACGGGGGCGAGCACAGGGTGCCCTGGAGAAGGGCAAGGGCACCCCATGGAAGTGTGACCATCTCCAGCCTCCAGAGCAGTCACCCACCTTCTCGGTGTCCTCCTTCTTGACAGACTTCAGGTTGGCCCTGAGGTCCATGGACACCTTGTGCTTGGAGCCCAGCAGAGCCCTGAGCATGGCGTCGGCCGAGACGCGGACCCGGCGCAGGGGAGGCCGCTTGAACTTGCCCCGGAGATCGAGGACTTTGATTTTCAGATCTTTAATCTGCAGGGGCAGGGGAGGAGCGGGGGGGAGGTCACTGCTTGGCTGCCTTGCACAAAGACCCCCAGAGGGAAGCAGGAGCTCTGGCAGCACCAAGCCCCAGGGGGATCTGCTCCTCTCCTGCGGGACCATCCCCACCAGGGCTCTGCCCCACCAGGCTCAGAGCTGGGCCATGGGCTGGGCCCAGCCTGCTCAGGGGGCAGCTGTGCCACCAGAAGCTCTCAGACCCACAGGGGTGACCAGGAGAGTGAGGAACCTCTCTGTGGACCCCGAGGACACTTGGGATTCCCTTGGGCAGGGATGAACCTTGCTCTGAGTGGTGCCTTGCAGAGTAAACACCAGCCCTGAGAAACCCTGGTGCCTGTCCCACATCCCAGCCCAGCCTGGTCCATGACACATCCCCATTCAGGGCAGAGCTGCCACTGGGAGGGAGTTTCCAGAAGGAACCAGCACGTCCTCCCTCCTACCTCCCGGGTGTTGTGGTTGCATTTCGCTTCAATGTCGTATCTCTCCTCATCCACAATTTCCACCTTCTCGTGCAGCTCCCTGCACAGGTCCTGGGCCAAGAAAACAGGAGAGGGGTGAGTGAGGCCCCTCACGCTCCCAGGGAGCCCAGTGCACCCTCGGGCTGAGCAGTACCTGGAGCTGGCTCAGGGAGAGCCCGCTGGTGTGCAGTGGGGTGACCCTCTCAGACAGGTACCTCTCCTTCTCTGCCTGCTTGTCCACAATCTCCTGATCCCACTCCTCCTTGGCCTTGGCCAGCATCAAACTCTGTGAGCACCAGGAAATGGCACAAGTGTGAACAGGCCCCTGTTTGCCCTGAGCCACTCACACCACATCTGTAGGATGGGACAGACTCATGTGCCACCCCCTCCCTGCTGTCCCCAAACACATCAGAGCCTCCCCACAGCTGGGTGGGTCTGTGGGGCCGTGGGGATGTGAGGCTGTGGGGCTGTGGGGCTGTGGGACCGTAGGGCTGTAGGGCCTGTGGGGCTGTGGGGCCATGGGGATGTAGGGCCATGGAGCTATGGGGCTGTGAGGCCGTGGGTCTGTGGGGCTGTGGGACTGTGGGACTGTGGGGCCATGGGACTGTGGGGCCGTGGGGCTGTGAGGCTGTGGGACTGTGGGATGAGGGGCCATGGGTCTGTTGGGCTGTGAGGCTGTTGGGCTGTGAGGCTGTGGGACTGTGGGTCTGTGGGTCTGTGAGGCTCTGGAGCCATGGGGATGTGGGGCTGTGGGGCCATGGATCTGTGGGGCCATGGGGCTGTGGGTCCATGGGGCCATGGGGCTGTGGCACTGTGGGTCTGTGAGGCTCTGGTGCCATGGGGCTGAGGGTCTGTGTGGCCGTGGGGCTGTGGGGCCGTGGGGCCATGGGGCTGTGGGTCTGTGGGTCTGTGGGTCCCTGCTCCTGCTGGCTGCTGCCATTGGCCCTGCTGGGACAGGCAATGTTTACCCCAAGCAGAGCCCGGGGAGCTCCCAGGCCTGTGCAGGAGCACAGTCAGGCTGAGGCCTCAGAGCTGAAGGTGTGGGGGTCTCTCCCCACCCCAGTGCAGGGGAGGTTTGTTTGGACCACAAATCCCACATGAGTGAGAAGAGAGAGGTGGGTGGGAGCTGCTCCCCACAGCCCATCCCTGAGCTTTCCTCGCCCCTGTCCCACCAATGTGCTGCAACCTGGCTCCTTTCCCCCAGCGAGACAAACCCCAGGGAGTTTCCAGCCCTCGGGACTCACCTTCAACAAGAGTTTGCGTGAGGCTGTGATCTTGGATTTTCTCTGGGGGAAAGGGGAGGGAAGGAAAACACCCTTTGAAAACAAACGCGCAGCAAAGGCAGAGCAGCACCAAGGGCTCTCCCAGGGAAAGGCACTTACCTCCCTGCAGGCAGGGCAGCAGCCAGGGAGCAGCAGAAAGAACAAGAGAAGAGAACAGGGCATCAAGGAATGAGAGTAAAAAAGAGGGGACAGTCAAGGAATGCATCTCGTGTGGTTGCAGTTGGTTCCTTATTTCTGTATCTCACAGCTGCCACCAGCACGTGAGCCAGGCCTGAGGGGAAGGTGCCCTCTGGAAATGCAGTGGGAGCTCAGGGCCACAGCTTAGAAAGCCAAAATGTCACTCAGGTGTGACAGGTGAGCTGGCACTGTGCCCATCGTGCCAAGCCCGGTTCACTCCCTGTGGTTCAGACACCCTCATTGCCCCAGTCCCACTTCAGCTGGCTCGGGATGCTTGGATGCTGCTCAGGTTCACAGGGTTGGGACATCCCCAGGTCGTTGCTCCAGGAAAGCTTTACAGGGAGTTCCTCCCTTCTCTGCTCACCAGGGAATGTGTTGGATTTGTGCAATATGCTACAGAGAGCCTCACGGCAAATCCAGAGCGCCTCCCTCCCCTCCAATCTGCATTTGGGGATCTGGGAAAGCCCTGAGGTTTGAACTGGGACATTGAAAGGGCAAACAATTTGCATTTCAAGCCGGTTTTTGCAAGGGGGATGGCACAGAGGTGTGGGGCAGGGCAGGGTCTCCCAGCGAACCCTCCCCAAAGAGACAAGCGCAGCCGGCCGAGGCTCTGGGGATCCGGGGCGCGCAGCTACTCACGGCTCCGGCATCGCGGCGGGGCTGCTCCTGCCGAGAGAGAAAGCGGCTGAACCCGAGGAGCAAATCGCGGTTCACAGAGGCCCGTGCAGCAGGAGCGATGCCGAGGCGCTGCTGCCCCGCGCTGTCGGCGTTGGGAAGCGGCCCCGCGGCTCCATCCCGCTCCGGGACACCCCGCCCGCAGCCCGGGCAAGCTGCGGCGGGCACAGCCGGCCCTGCAGGGCTCGGCCCGCGGCTCCTCGGGGCTGTTCCCAAGCTCCGAGCTGCTCCCCCGCCCGCCCCAGCTCTGGAAACACCGAGAGAAATGGGGGTGCCTCGGGGGTTCCCCGCTGGATCGGCTCCTGTCCTGCAGCTGCCGTGGGCAAGGCAGGGATGGGAGAGCCAAAACCAACCGGGGAACGCCAGAGCAACGGGCAACAACTCTGCTCTGAACCGGGCTGAGGGCTGGGGGTGCCCAGCCTGGAGAAATGAGGGATCCAGGGAGACCTGAGAGCCCCTTCCAGAGCCCAGAGGGGCTCCAGGAGAGAAGGAGGGGAACTCTGGGACAAGGGATGGAGGGACAGGACAAGGGGAATGGCTTCCCGCTGCCAGAGGGCAGAGATGAGTGGGATACTGGGAGGGAATTCTTGGCTGTGAGACCCTGGCACAGGTGCCCAGAGCAGCCATGGGTGCCCCATCCCTGGCAGTGCCCCAGGCCAGGCTGGACAGGGCTTGGAGCACCCTGGGACAGTGGAAGGTGTCTCTGCCATGGCAGGGGTGGGACTGGATGGGCTCTAAGGTCTCTCCCAACCCAAACCATTCAGGTATTCTCAAAGTCAGATCCCACAGGTTCCTTCAGCAGTCACATTCCAGGTGAAACACTCAGGGTTTCCTGTTTTACATTTGCCTGCTGATCCCAAGCCCTGGCAGCTGCTCCAGCCCACGCTGCTCCCCTGGCCCTGCTCTGACCCTGCTGTGCTGAGCAGCCGGGGCACCCTGTGAGCCCAAGCAGCAGAAAAACGTGGGGGGAAATTTTAATATTTTTTCCCCCTCAAACAGCATTTTCCAGGCATGGGTTTAGTGCTTTTCCTTGGGAGTGAAATGGACAAGCTGGGATGTTTTTGCCTTGATCCTTTTGCATCCCCTGATATATGGAAACTGTTTTAGACCCCAAGGATTCATGCTGGGGGAAATGAAAAGCTGGTCTCAAACAGCTGCTCACAGGTTTGTGTGGAGCCTGAGCCAAGCAAATCTCAGGGCACATCCTGGCTCTGTTCCCTTGTCCCTGTTCCCTCCCCATGCCCCCACAGCTCAGCCAGATATGTCCTAAATAAACGAAGTTTGGGGGATGGGGGGAGTGTAATAAAATCCCAGCTGGAATCATCTTCCCCAGAGCCTCCCAATCCAAATCCCCAGATTTACAAGGAGAAATCCCAAGAACAGGAATTTCTTTGTCCTCAAACCACATCAAACATTCAGTTTCTTGCTTTTGTGGAGGTATTTGGTGCTGTGACAAACATCCCAGAGGACAGCAGGCAGCACTGGTGCCTTGAGCAGCGTGGGTTTATTCCTGCTTCTGGGTTTATTCTGGGGGTGGCAGAGGAGCCTTTCTTTCCCTGCCTTTCCTTTGTCCCCTGCTGGAGCAGAGCCCGGCATTCCTTGGGGTGGGATCCACACCACACCTCGAGCTCACGACCTCTACCAAGGTCAGTCACATTTTAGGGCCAAATGGTCCAAAATTGGCTTCCCAAACAGCTGCAGGGACTCAGCTGTGCCAGTGAGACATCCCCAGCAATCCCCAGTGCCAGGACTTCTGGGCTCCAGCTGGATCTGGAGCATCCATGAGAGACTTTGGTCCCTGATGGGGACAAGAGGATCTGGGCAAGGTAATTCTGTAATATTTGCACTGGCCCAGCTGTGAAAAGCTTGTAAAGCTTATTGAACCACTGGATCATGGAAATCTTTAAAAGAAATAATCCCATAAACACAACTACAGTCAATTCCCCCATCCCAGGAGGCTGGAGACAAAGCACAAGCCCTCTCCCACTACCAGGAGGGAGCTCTGTTCCCTTTGTTCCCACCCTGAACCTCCCACCAGTGAGCCAGGCTGGAACACCCAGCAAGTGCTCCTCAAACAGTCCTGTTTGCCATGGTTTGGGAAAAAACAGGCAAATATCAGCTCAAAGTCTTTGTCCCCACTGCAGCCTCACCAATCCTCTCTCCCAGAGCAGAGGAAATGTCTGAGCCCCTCAGAGAGGGGCAGAAATTCAGGCAGATCCTCATGCTGGGGGTTCCTCTGTGTCCTGTGCCAGTGCTGGGGGTCTCGTGCCCATCTCAGCCCCAGCACACCCCGGGGGACAGGGGACAGGGCAGTGGCAGTGCCTTACCTGGCTGTGCAGGAGGGAGGTGACGCCTGGCTGGGACAGCCGCACTCTGCTGGGGCTGGGGCTGAGAGGGGATATTGAATCCCAGCCCTGCCTGCAAGTGGTCGGTAAAAATAGCACAAATCCCCTCCTCTGCCGGCATCTGCTGCAACCCCGGGCGTGCTGGGACTGCTGCTCACACCTGGGGCCCTGCCTGGAGCACAGGGGCACACACAGGTCACCCCTGTGTCACTGCACTTGGGTCCCAGGGCACCCACAACCCCCCTTTGGTTCCAGGGCTGCTTGCATGGGAATCATCCCAGACTGGTTTGGGTGGGAAAAGACCTTAAAAATCATCCAGTCCCAGCCCTGCCATGGTAGGGACACCTTCCACTACCCCAGATTGCTCTAACCCTGTCCAGCCTGGCCTTGGACACTGCCAGGCATGGGGCAGTCCTGTGCATTGTGGGCACCCTGTGCCAGGGCCTGCCCACCCTCACAGGGAAGAATTTCTCCCCACTATCCCCTGTATCCCAGCCTCTGGCAGTGGAAGCCATTCCCCTTGTCCTGTGCCTCCATCCCTTGTCCAGTCCCTCCCCAGCTCTCCTGGAGCCCCTTTGGGCACTGGGATGCCCTAGGACATCCCCTGCTCACATGGGGGCTCTGGGGGTCACACACACAGGCTCAGGCTGCCCAGTGCTGGGGATGCCCTGGGCATGGGCTGCATCCTCCTGGCACCTCTGGTGTGACTGAGCTCCAGAGAGGCTGCAGAAGGCAGGGGAGGGGTGTGAACAGCCTGGGAGCTGCTGCCCTGCACCGTGGGGCGCACACAGGACAGCGCTGGCCAA